GAAAGATATCCACATGGGTGGTAGGACCCATTGTCGTCGGTTTGTAGGAGGACTGCTCCTGTCGCAAATAGCGATGCGTCTGTGGCCAGTGCGAACTGGCGAGAGGGGTCGGGGTTCCGGAGTACAGGTTCGGTGGTAAAACATTGCTTTAGCTTCAGGAATGAAGCTTCGCAATCTGTGGACCAGGAAAACACGGTGTCTTTCTTTGTGAGGTCGAGGAGGGGGCGAGCGAGGTCGGAATAATGGGAGATGAAGTGACGGTAGAAATTGCAGAATCCTAGGAAGGATCTGACTTCTTTCACCGTCGATGGAGTCTGCCATTCGCTGATCCCCTTGAGTTTTGCCGGGTCCATGGCAACCTGTCCGGGTCAGGATGATCATCCCAAGGTACTCTACCTCTTGGGAGTCGAAGGTGCACTTTTCGGGTTTGAGGAAGAGTTGCTCCTGACGGAGCTTCTCTAAAACCCTACGGGTGCGCATCTGGTGTTCTGCAAGGTCAGAGGAGAATATTAGGATGTCGTCCATATAGACGATGAGCCATCCTTCATCTATCTCCTTGCTGAACGTCTGGTTCATGTAGGCCTGGAACGTCGCTGGCGAGTTACAGAGCCCAAAGAACATCACTTTTGGCTCAAAGAGCCCAAAAGTTGTCGAGAAGGCTGCCTTCCATCTGTCGTCGGGGTGGATCAAAATATTGTTGTATCCTGAACGGACATCCACTTTGGTGAAGTATTTCGCGTCTTTGAGTTTGGCGATGAGAGGCGGAATGAGTGGAAGTGGATATGCGTTCTTGATAGTCCATTCGTTGATGTATCGGTAGTCCTGACAGGGGACGAAGGGAGCCGTCCTTCTTTCCTACAAAGAAGAAGCCAGAGGCTTGAGGCGACTTCGATGGTTGGATAAAATCTTTCTGGATATGTTCATCCAGAAACGCTTTAACCGCTTCAGTCTCTTTTGGAGAGAGAGGGTAAGCTCGGGAAGATTTTGGAATAAAACCTTCCTTCGTTTCGATCCGGTGGTCTACACCTGGTCTCGATGGGGGGAGCTTGTTAAGCCCATCCTTCGCGAATATATCTGCGAAGTCGTGAAGGTATTCGGGGACGAGCTCTTCGAATGGTTTCTTCTTCGTTTCTTGAGCTTTGTCCTTGGCGAATTCCTGCGCCTTGTTACTGGTTTTCGTGTACTCCTCCTTTGCCGTAGCAAGGATCCAAATGTTGCGAAGGGGAGTCTTCTTTGTCTTCGTGGTCTCCGTCTTGGAGGTTCCATCCCTAGTTAGGGGAGTGTCGAAGGTGAGGTTCTCGATCAATCTGACCGAAGAACCATCGGCCGAGTATTCTATAAGAATCTCGTCATCAGTCAAGGGATAAGTCGCAACTTCCTTGACTTCGGGTAGGGGGTCGATCTTCCCTACCCAGACGTCTTCCATGACGTCGGTTTCTTGGGGCATTTCGAAATGCTTTTCTTCGGCGGGTACCTCCTTGGCAGGTTTTGCCTTCTTCGTCTTCTTTTTCTTCTTCTTGCGTCGAATTTCCTCGAGCACGTGTTCCGTACCCAGGGGGAGTGACTTGAGAGGTTTGAAAGGTGCCTCTTCCTCGTCCTCGATCATTGGTCGGAGACCTTCGAATTGATAGGGGGTTACCCCGTTCCTTTTTCGAATTTTGTTGAGTAGATTCTCAACGTATCTGGATCTGGTTGTGGGGAGCATTGTGATTTCGTTGCGTCCCCAATCGATATCCGGTTTCATGGCGGATAGCCAGGGTTTCCCTAGCAAGATATTGTCTCGTTCGGAAAGTCTAGTGACGTTAAACTTTCCCCACATAGTTCGTCCGTCGAGTCGGACGAAGAGTATGCAGTATCGGGTGACCTTCCCAGCAGTGGATTGACTTCCATCTACTGTGGTGATGCGGAAGGGTTTCTTCAGGAGGTGGGTTCGAATATTGTGCTTCTTTACGAAGGTGTCACAAATAAATGTTCCCCCAGCCCCTGAGTCGATGATGGCTGTTGTTGCAACGGTTTTCGTACTCGTGGAAGAGAAAAGTGTCACCGGGACACGGAATTCATTTTCTTTTCCTACAGTATGAGTACACAGGATATCTAAGGAGGGGACGCACGTTGCTTTTGCGGTCCTCCGCTCTAAAAATCCTCTTCTCCTTGGAGCCTGTTGGTCTCCATGTCGTCTTCGGAGGTTTTGTCATCACGCTGGTCTCTACCAGTCGTTACCGGAGTCTTTCCTTTGGTATCTTTCTTCTCTCCACGTCGTATCTTCGGGTGGAATCTGGGATCGTTGGCTCTGTGGCCATGCTCTTTGCATGAGAAGCAAAGGCCCTTCTTGTAGCATTTGTCTTTCTCTGCCTGAGAGAGGGTGCGGTCTACGTCCATAGCGTTAGGGTCTCTGGACGATGAGACATTAGGCTTGGGGTAGTACTTGGAACCGCGAGGGGCGTATCGGGTGTGTTGGTTGCGGGAGTTGGCAGAGACGGCCTTGCTCCTGCGGTAGTTAGCGTCGAGCTGTACCGCAGAAGTGTACCACTTTTCGATGGTGTCAGGAAGTGTCTCCTTCCTGTAGATTGCTTCGCGAAGGCTTGGGTTCAGGCCTTTCTCAAAGAAGTGTGAGAGTGTCACGCCTTCCTTGATATTGGCGATGGTAGCCAACGTTTTGAACTTCGAGATGTAGTCCATAACGTTGTTTCCCATTCTGAGTTCGGCGATTTCAGTGAGGGCATTCACCTGCTTATCAACGGGTTGAAAAGCAAGGTTGAATCCTTTCTCGAATTCTGCGAACGTTCCGAATTTCGGAGGGTTGGTGCTGAAAGCTTCGCGAGAGAAGTTATCAGCCCATGCTTTAGCGCTGTTCTTTGTCATTAATGACAGGGCGACGGACACCATGATCTGTTCGCTGCAATAGACGGTGGGGTTGATGAGGAAGTACGTCTTTAAGCTGTAGAGCCATCGTTGCGCGTCATCGGTGTTCCCATCGTAGTCTGTTGGTGACCCTGCTTTGAGTTCAGGGGCACGAACTACGACGGCAGTGGAGGAGGAGGATGGGTTAGACATTCTTGTCTTCGGATTGGCGCTAGTGTTTCGGGGAGGTACTTCGTCCGGAAAGTCCTCTTCAGAAGTTGGAGTGTTTCCTAGATCTTCTTCGTCGTTCAGTCCCTCGTCTGAGTGGTACTGCTCTGTCGGTGAGGTGGGAGAGCTAAACTGTCCGCCTACCTCTTCTTCGTCAGGATCTTCCTGATTCGGGTCACGCTCCCAAGAGAACTTGCATGTCCAGGGAGTGGTCGTCTTGTATCTGTTTCTGTCCTCGATAGGTGTCGAGGGCTAGAAGGTAACTTGAATCTTTTGTTACGACTTGGATGGTATCTGTTGGCGACGCTCAAACAGAGCTTGTGTCGTCAACGGTCTGTGGACGTCCTTGGGCTAGCCCAAGGTTAGGGGTCGTACTTGGCGTGTCTTCGGCAAGTACGATTTAACGCCTATGTCCAAATCGGGTAGCTTATGTCACGCGGGTGCGAGACGATAAGCTATATCGGCCTAGGCTTACAACACCCGAAGGTTAATCGTAAGGATCGTCGTTAATTAGAAGGACAGAAGTCCGACTAGTTAACAGGGGCTTTGCTCGTCGACGAAGTCGATGAGTAAAGATCGAGACTATAGGCTTATCCGCGAAGAGCAGATAAGAAGATAGAATATAGACTGCTGGCGAGGCAGAAGGATCACTCTGGTGAGAGTAGGAGGTCAAGAACCAAGTAGATTCAAGTTAGGGAATATGGTACATGGTAGCGAGTTTATATAGAGGACAGGAAACATATTAGTGGATGATAACTCGTACTACCGGGAGAGGCAATCGGTAAAGGGTAAGACCATAACAGGAAGGCACGTTCGGTCTGGGTAGAACGTGCTAGATAAGAAAGTGAGTCAAAGATCGAAATAAGAAGTGAAACGCGCAGGGGCACGATCGTGCAACTGCGGATCTAAGTATAAGTCGCATGTGCGACTGCGCACCGAGTCAGAGATCATAAAAGGGAACAGGGTAAAGGGGATGTGTCATGCATCATATCATAGGTTACCGTCCGGACGGTAAGGGCAAGGGGACTGTCCGCAGGATCAGTCAGGTGGTGAAACGGAGCATGGATATGCTTCGTCAGCGAAAGGATCTGGCCAAATGTACTGGCTTTGCTGAAGCGACAAGTAGAGGGCGAAAGGGAATGTGAGGATGACGAGGATGACAAGGGTAAGGTCGGGGTAAGGGTATGATGCGAGGGCTGATACGAGGAGGATCAGGAGAAAAATAGTAGGGGCCCAAGTGTCTAGATGTTCTTGTAACAGTCAGAAAGTAGACAAGATATTGGAAGTAAACCTTTCTAATGTTCGTCCGAAGTACCGAGATACTTGTCTGATGCGACTGAAGGTCGTCCAAAGCTGCAAAAGTGTTGTCTGAAGTAGTGCGATGCCTTCCGAGGCTTGCGAGAGCTGTCCAAAGGTCAATATATGTTGGTGTGTCGATGTGTCAAATAATATAAGACTTTGTGAGGGGTCCGAAGTCCGGAACAATGCTAATCTATCGGAACTCAAGAATAAACGAGGTGCAGAATTGGCAGTGGTCTAGCCAAACAATCATTCTGAATGAACAAAGATCGATTGTGCAGTTATGAATATACCGAGGTGACTCTACTAATTATGACTCGAAGTACGGGAAGTGAAGTGAAGTATCAGTAGCCAGCGAGCGAGATTATATCCTACTTCTGTGAGAGACTGGAATCCATAGGTGAAACTAGTAGCGAGATAAGCAAGTCTGAACCTATGTAATAAGCCACAAGGCAAGCAGCAATGCAAGTATACATGTAATAAGCTGTGATGTGTACTGTTTATATGTATTCCAAGGCTCCCGACAGGATGCCAATGGGATTTATCCGTGTAGCACTAAGACATAGTCAACATATAGATAGAATAAAGGAAAACGCACCAGCAAAGTCAAAAGGACGAGGATAGGACATGGTATGGTAACTCACAAGGTTCGGACAGGCCTCGGAATGCAAGAACTGCCTGTGGAAGGTTCGGACAAGTGCGCGCGGCCTTCAAAAGGTCAAGGGAGGTCGAGGAATGGTATGGGATGTAAGTGTTAGATTGACTGGTTCCGAGCCCAGCGCCGCGACCATTGTTACAACATCAAACAAAACAGCTAAGATTGGAGGTGCACCATTTTTTTTTACCAAAGACACAATGTCAGGGCAGCACATATGTGCACCCTGTGTGTAAGTATTATCTTTGGGTCTTTTTATTTTTCTCTTTCTCACGTTTGCCAGGGACATACAGAAAGAAGATTCATCACACAATATTGCCAAATACAGCTCATCGACTACCACGGGCACTCTTCGCGGTCATCTGTGCAAAATTCACTTGCGTGTTTATATAACTGCACTTGAGCAACACAATCTAAAAGTTGAGGCAAAAGAAGTTCGAGATCTTCTTGATATAGGGTGGACTCTTGCACAGATAGGTCAAGAGCTTGACCAGAACCCAGATAAGCTTCTTGAGTTGTTCAGTTCCCCCCCCTGGTGGTAAGCATCTTGGTTTGCAACCCAGGACAGGGGTGTCGGCACTTGCAGATGAGATACTGGATTATACCATTGAGGAGATGCATAGGCAAGTCGTCAAATTCATTGTGGTCGATGACCAGGTGGGTACTTATTTACTCTATATGACAGTTATTAATTGTCTTTAGGTGATGAATGTAATAGAATGCCCTGAGTTCTGTTGCTTACTTCTACTTCTGCGGAAAGATCTACGGGAGTGCAACATTCCTCATCAGACGAAGCTACATGAGTTAATAGTCAAAACATGGTATCAATATTTCGATGTTTTAAAGCAAGATCTTGCCGTAAGTGTACAACTGTTTTGATCTTGCAAGTTATCTTACGTTCTTCTAGAAAGCAGAAGGAAAGATATCATTGACTTCTGACCTCTGGTCAGATGCGAACCGACATCCATTCATTGCATTGACGGCTCACTGGATTGCCCAACATGGATCAAAGCTCATTCTCAAGGCTGGCCTTCTAGCTTTTAGCCATGTTCCTGGTTCTCATGATGGGGTGTCGCTCGCTGTAGTCATATTAGGACTCCTGGATCGTGCAGAAGTGACAGACAAGGTTAGTGATTGACCCACCATGTAACATATTCTGACTTAGTCTAGATCGGTCATTTTACTTTAGATAATGCATCAAATAACCAGACTGCCATGGTCAAGCTTTCTTGTCTCCTGTCGGCATGTGGCATCGAGTTTGATCCCATTGATTGCAAAATCCCGTGTTTCCCACATATAATCAACATATGCATTCAGCACGTCATCGCTTCTTACCATTCCATGGATCTTGCAACAGTGCCTACCGAGTGGCTAGCTTGTGGTACCACCATCAAAAATGAGGGGTATTTGGAAGCTCTGAAACTCAAACCTGTCAAGTGGGGTAAGAATCATGTGCGTGTGATCTGCGCATCGGGCCAGTGACGCGAAGCCTTCCGGAATGCTATCTCAATTGGCAACCAGGGGAATTTATTTCCAGGAGGAAAACTTCCAGTCCTTGAGCTTCTATGTGATGAGCCTACTTGATGGGATTTGACGTATGTTATGCTCAATCATCTCCAAACGCTTCGCCCAGTAAGACTTTGTCTCACATAACATTCATTGCAAACTTACAGTGCCCCAGGCTATTGATTGCTACCTTGCAACTCAAACTAGCTTATCCGAACATGGGTTGAGTCCAATGGAGTGGATGGTCTTGCAAGACCTTGAAGTAATTTTAGAGGTCAGTGACTCAGTGTTGATATCGCTCAAGCCCACGATGTGTTTTAATCTATGTCAGGCACCCCATGCTTGCCAACAATCAATGTTCAGTGAAAGTACACCTATGTTGAGTGGTGCAGTCTCTGCCTTAGAACATCTGATGGAGCAGTGGGAAGGGGTGGCCAGGATCACCATGCACTGTGCGCCCATGATTAATATAGGCCTAGCCTGGGCAGAGAAGTATGGTCACAAGATGAGTCAGACAAATGCATATGCCATTGCGATGTGTGAGTTCAGTTTTGATACAATTTCATCTCTCATGATCTTTTTGTATAGTCATTGACCCTAGCTTGCATTTATCATGGATTGATGGTCACTGGGGTGAAGAACGTGCTCGTACTGCCAGGGACTCTATCAAGTGACAGGTACATCTACCTTGACTTGAATGGTGCATATTTAACCTAATGTGTTCTACAGCTGCAAGAGAAGATAGAAAGCTCTATTCAACATCCAGCAGTAGAATTGCCTGCTCATCGACCACATACTGCAACCTTAGGTGCACAAATTTATGGTATACCTAACATTGACTTGCTGCCGTGTCACCATCTTGGTGTTCAAACAGTTGACGAGGAATTTAATGCATATAGTACATCCCATGTCAACCCTCAAGGAACTGACCCACTCGCATTTTGGAATGTGCATTTTTTTGTTGAGTCATTCACTGACATTCATTATTGATCACATCTCAACCAGAGCTCAAAAACCCTCTTTCTGACCATCTACAACCTTGCAATGGATTATCTCCCAATCCAGGTGTCCGCTGTTCCCTGTGAATGCATTTTTTCATCAAGCAGCGAGACGTGTACCAAAAAGCGTAATTGCCTCAACCCTGCTATGGTAGAGATCCTCCAGATGCTTAAATTTTTGCTGGAGAAAGAACGACTCAACTTTATGAAAGGATGGTCAGCATCAGAGTGGGAAATGGAGTATTATACTCAAATACAGTGCATGCTGGAGTCAGATGACTCGCGCCAGCATGCATCTTTATCATCTGCTAGAAGTACCGGCAGCAGTTGTGATTCCGAGCATGATGCTCTTCTCAAAGCCATGGCAGCAGATGAATGTGACGATATTCCTGATGTTCCTACTCTCTATCACTGACATTTTTCCTACCTCCTTCGCAATCTCACCACCATCACATCATGTACCACTATCTAGTTTTGACTTACGCTATATTTGTCATTATATTGATTTCAATTGTTGATTCCTTTCTCCCCAGGTTTCCTAATCCTCACGACTTATGACCAAACAGTGGCAGAGAATTTATATCATCACACTAACAATATTTCTCTGCAAACGTGCAGAGATGCCGGCAAAGTCAATGTTCCATAGAGTCTGCCTATCGCAGACAAGGGACAACCCTTCAAAGATACTGGTGCATACATCGGTTTTGACTGGGATCTCCCCCACAAAACAGTAGTCCTCCTTGAGTGTAAGTGCCTCAAATATATTGCTCGTCTATCTCATTTTCTCACTCTATTCCTAGACTCACAAGTGCCGAAGCGAGAGATCAAACACATAGCAGGCTTTCTCAATCACTCAGCCTTCATCTACCCACATGGCCGTTAATATCTCACCAATATCTACTCAGACATTGCCGTGTATGGCACCAACAAATTCACTCTTAGATATCTCGGCCATTCCACATGGTCATAAAATGTCGGGTATGTACTTTGAGTGAGTGTTTTTTTGTTTTCTGTGTACAATCGCTCCCATCCCGGTCCACACAATCACAAACCATCAGGTATGTATTTTGAGTGAGCGTTTTTTTTTTCATTTTCTGTGTATGATCGTTCCCATCCCGGTCTACACAATCACAAACTATCAGGTATGTACTTCGAGCGAGTGTTTTTTTATTCCATTTTCTGCTTACAATCACTTCCATCCCCAGTCTGCACGATCACAAAACATCAGGTATGTACTTTGACCGAGTGTTTTTTTTTTTTTTTTTTTTCATTTTCTGCACTTCAGTCACCCCCCTTAAAGTACCTCTTAGGTACATATATTCTGGCTTACAATCCTGCCTAAGAGGCATGATCTTATACGGTATTCCCATGCAATGCAGGTTGTATCCCGGGCCAATTCAATACTTTCCCCACGAAGCCTGGGCCTGCTGGGCCAATGTATTTGATCTGTCCCATGACCCATCTGGGTTATCCTAAATCCTTTATTATATAAATACACAGGGGGTGTCAGGGGTCATTTCTCATGAAAAATTACCCACACATTTAGACACTTAGAGTATAATGTTTGTCTTCATACAATCCTTGACCTACAAATGGAGGAGGTGAAAAGAAATTTGTGGTAGGTTGTGGGGTTGTCTTTGAAGATGAGGGAAGAATGTAAGTCGGGTAAGGTCCTTGACTTACAAAATTCAAAGTGGCTGGAGGAGACAGGAAGAAATTGGTGGTAGGAGGGGGGGTTGTCTTTGAAGATGAGGGAAGAATATAAGTCGGGTAAGGTCTCATTTGTGGTAGGAGGGGGGGTTGTCTTTGAAGATGAGGGAAGAATGTAAGTCGGGTAAGGTCCTTGACCATGCCCTCACTCCAGATACTGACATATTTTGCACTCCATCTGGTTAATTTTGCGCAATTGGAACATGCCCTGCACCACAATACTCCAGGTTTTATTGGAGTAAGTGTCATCACATATTACTTCGGATGTGAGTATGAAAGCAGAAACAAAAAGACAGTGATTAGTCAATGCGGGATAGCCCACCACTGGTTTATATGGTGACTGGGCCAGCCCGGCACTCTCCTACGTATGATGCGGGATAGCCCACCGCTGGTTTATAAGGTGACTGGGCCAGCCCAGCACTCTCCTACGTATGATGCGGGATAGCCCACCGCTGGTTTATATGGTGACTGGGCCAGCCCGGCACTCTCCTACCCATGATATGAGATAGCTCATGTCTGGGATGCCCCACCAATTTTGAATTTTAAGATGGGATAGCCCATGATATATTTGCACTTTCAAAGTATTGTCTAATAGCAATCACTCGAGAATTTCGGATATTGTTACAAAAGACTACATATCATATGAATCCAAGTCAAGATCCATATATGCTCCAGCCAATGCAGCTTCCTCCAATTTATCTATCAATTCATCATTCTCCCGCTCCTCATCAGACTCCCAGTCATTCTCAGAATCATACACAGCAGCTGTGCCATCAAGACAGCTTGGTTGATAATACATATTAGCAGCCTCAGCAAGGTCATTCAGGGTGGGGCCCCATGAGTCAGGCAATGGCCAAGCACAAGGGATAGGATGAACTCGAGATTGCCAATGCACAACAAGACCACTCAATAAGCGAGCGTGGAGGTCGAAATGAAAGCAGAGATCTTTGTTCTCATCTTAGTATACTATCAGTGTTATGACTGGGATAGTTCTGCTGTTGCCGGTCAAGATAGACCTGTCGGGCGAACAGTTCGTCGGCCTTCCTAATACAAGGAAGGTTTCTGGTGGTTCCTACTGCACGAGCCGCGGCTTCTATGCAGGATCAGCGGCGAGTGGTTTTAGCACTTCTGCCTAGGCGGTGAGTGGTTTTAGCACTTCTACCGCAATCAAGGGTTTCAGGCTAAGACAGTGAGTGACTGTCTTAGAATCAGAGTTCAGGCTACTAAGGGTGGGGACCTTAGTAGATCAGGTTTCAAGAGGAAGACCCAGTAGATTAAGTTAAGGAATACATCTATGGTACATGGGGTTTATATAAGTAAAAATGGAGCGGAGTTGCCGCGACAAGAAAGGTAACAGAGATAGGAAAAGAGTACAACCTATCAAGATAGCAAAGATAGGTGAAACCGCCATGCGGCGCAAGATAGTATCTATGTTACAATCAGGAAAGAAGAGAAGTGCGGACAGCCCGCTTGATAAGAGAATAGCCGAGTCTAGATGAGTCTAGAGTCGGCGGCATGGTTACAAGAAAGAAAAATGAAAATAGGAGTAAATGTTATTGTAACATTACCCCGGTGTAACCGTTGAAGTCTCCGACTTCAATCCATTCTAGCGTCGTCGTAGTAGACGGGGTCTGCTTCGGCGTTATTAAAGTCACCCAGATCCGTAGAGGAGCTGGGCTGGTTCCGATAGTCTTCATCGGCCTGTTCGCATTCTTGTTCGTAGAATGCCCTCTGGTCTGCCTCCCAATTGCGGAGGGCTTCGTAGAATTCGTTGTCTGTATAGACGATCGGAAGTGGGTAGGTTCCTTTAAGGTCTTTACAATAGACCGAGAGATGTCCAGGGGCGATGGCGTGGCATATCACGCAGGAGTACTGAGGGCAGTTCTTGTGGCGGTGCCCATATTCTCCGCAGATGCGACACTTGACGTTGTCAAAACCTGGTTTCTTGACTGAGGTGTGTGGTGGTGGTGATGGGGAAGTGAGGTCAATGACCTCTCTCCCTTTTCCTCTGTCTGCTCTCATGCAACGCCTTCGAGCAATCTGATATCCAGTAGGTCTTCTTCCTCTAGAGGCAACCTGCGGTTGCGGCGTTCTGACTGGGAGTGGAGTGGGAGACGGGTCACGATTTGGTGACTGATGACGGGAGTGAGGACGAGGAGGAGAAGGCGGACGAGCAACTTCAGTCGTGGTTCTGTTGGCCACGATGTGTATAACTGATAGCATGTCAGGCTTAAGGCTGTCAGGGAGAAGCTGAAGCGCAATCGATCTGATGCGCCTCTGGGATTGGATAATTTCATGGGCTTCTTGTGCAGAAGCGAGAGGGATTCTATTTGCGGATAATTCTATCAGGCGGGTAGTTCTGATGATGTTGATAATGGCAGCGATTATTGCTGCGCTTCTCGCTGGGCGCTCGGCGAGTTTTCTCTCCAGCTCGAGTGCGTGTTGCTCAGATAGTAGTGTTGCTTCAAAGAGGGCATCTCCCTCAATACGATCAATGACGGTGAAATATAGAGAGGATGAAAGTGATATGTCGGTATCCTCTGACGATGAGGGGTCGGAGATGGAGGATGCAAGGGAGGAGTGCTCATCCAGCACGAAGCGTTCAGTTTGGGTGATGGGGACGAAGTGTTCTTGGAGTTCAGCGGAGTCAAGGGTAAGAGTGGAGGGGGTAGTAGACATGTCTTTTTATGATGAAGTTACTTGAGTTTGTTGATCCTTCAAGCAAGTTTCGTTCTCTTCTTATACGCTCTGAGGAGCGTCTGGGAATTTTCTAGGTCGGTCTCTTTGACCCATTCGTTGCTGGCAGATGAGCATCCTTTCCAGGATACTAGATAGCGACGGCGTGCCGCTGTTCCTTTGTGAGCGAGGATCGCTTCTACTTCGTACTCCTCAACCCCATTAATGATGTCAGGTGAGGGTTCAATGAAATTCGGGCCGTGGACCTCTGTCTCCCGATAGGAGGATAGTTCAGATGCATGGAACGTGGGATGGACTTTCCATTGTTCCGGGAGGTGGAGTGTGAAGGTGATGGGAGATAGCACCTTGGTAATGGTAAAGGGGCCGTGCCGCTTTGGCGCCAGCTTCTTCGAGGGTAGGTGCGTCAGCAAGTGCTCTGCTGACAACCAGACCTTATCTCCAATCTTCCATGGTTCATACTTCTTCCTATGCGTCCTTTCGGCCATTTGTTGCATAGCGATGTTGTGGCAGGACACCGCTTCTTCTCTTATTTTCTGGAGGTTGGTAACGCGGTCCTCGGCCACGGGGATGTCGGTAGGGGGAAAGGCGTAGGGGATGCCTCTAGGCTCATAGCCCATCATCAGGAAGAATGGTGACGTGTTCCGTGCATCGTGCTTTCGGTGGTTATGCACGAATTCTGCCATGGGTAGATGCTGTACCCAGGTCTCAGGGTTTGATCGGCAATAGATCCGTAGATAGGTCTCGATTTCCTGGTTCAACCTTTCTGTCTGTCCGTCGGTCTGTGGATGGTATGCAGTGGATAAGGCAACTTCATAGTCTAGTAATCTTCCGAGTTCTTTGGAGAACTTCGATGCGAACTGCGGTCCGCGATCTGAAATGAGCTTGTCGTGGAGCCCAAAGCGTAAGAAAACCTTCTTGAAAAATAGTTGCGCTACTCCTTCGGAAGTGATGTTCTTCTTGCAAGGTGAAATAATTACCCCCTTTGTAAGTCCGTGGTCTACCACGACCATCATAGAATCGTAACCACTGCTCTCAGGGAGGTCGGTGATTAAGTCAACGGAGAGTTGGGAAAAGGGGCGTACACCGGAAGAGCTAATCGGTTTCAAGGGAGGAGTAGTAGGGTGAGTGTCAGACTTCATCTGCTGACACGTGGCGCATCCTTCGACATATTTCCTAATGAAGGTGCCCATCTGGGGCCACCAATAGTCGTGTTTGACTAATTCTTCTGTCTTAAATCTGCTGGGGTGTCCGGCGGTTGGGTGATCATGGTGAAGTTGCAAGATGCGACTTCGGAGTGCAGGGGGTGCATAGGCGTGGTTCTTGTACTGCAAGATACCATTATCGAATTTCCAGTCGGATAATGCCGACTTCATGGGGGGCAAGCATAGCCCGTCAAGTGCGTCACTGGCAGTTTTGATGATGGGATCTGCCGTGGGGTCATCGGATTTCAGTGCTTCTTCTAGTTCGATGTCGATTAGTCGAACAAACATATCATCAGGTAATAGGACAACGTCCTGGTTATCGGTTTCGGTGGGGTGGTGATCAGGACGACGAGATAAAGCGTCAGGGACAGCGAGCTTGGTTCCAGCTACATGATGGAATTTGAGGTCGAATTCGTTCAGAGTAAGCTGCCAACGTGCTTGGCGATGGGTCAATTGTTGAGCGGATCTGAAGTAGAGGAGATTCATGTGATCCGTGAATACAATGAAGGGGTGTCCGTGTCCTTCGAGATAATGTCTCCATGCTGTCAAAGCATGGATGACGGCCAATAATTCTCTATCATATATCTGATAGTTTCGTTCTGCTGCATTAAGAGATGCAGAAAGGTAGGCGCAGGGGTGGTAAGCGCCGTTTTCATCGGTCTGTAGTAGTACCGCTCCGGTTGCTACTAAGGAGGCGTCTGTTGCAACAGCGAATTGCTTTGCGGGATCGGGGTTTCTTAAGACAGGTTCCGTCATGAAGCACTTTCTGAGTGCCTGGAAGCTGTTTTCTTCTATGTTAGTCCAGCAGAATGGCTGGGTCTTCTTCGTCAAGTTGTTCAGGGGTTTTGCGATATCAGAAAAGTGCGGGATGAAATGCCGATAGAAATTGCAAAATCCGAGGAAAGATCGTACATCAGTGACGGTTTTTCGGTGTCGGCCAATCTGCGATGCCCTTGAGTTTAGTGGGGTCCATTGCGATCTGTCCAGGTCCTGATGATCATCCCAAGGTAGTCGACTTCTTGTACGTCGAACAGGCATTTTTCCGCTTTCAAGAACAATTTCTCTTTTCTGAGGATATCTAGTATCCGGCGGGTTCATTCGTGGTGTTCTTTAAGGTTCTTCGAGAAGATCAAGATGTCATCCATGTAGACGATGAGCCATCCTTCATTCAGTTCCTGTTGGAACTGTTTGGTTCATATAGGCCTGGAAAGTACCGGGTGAATTGCAAAGACCAAAGAACATGACATTCGGCTCAAAGAGTCCTGAATTCAGTCGTAAATGCTGCCTTCCATCTATCTTCAGGGTGAATCCGAATGTTGTTATATCCGGATCGGACATCCATCTTGGTGAAGTACTTTGCGTCGCGAAGTTTCGCTAAGAGTGGTGGAATGAGGGGAAG